ATAATAATAATTAAAAAAAAAAAAAGAAGAAGAAGAAGAATTATATAAGGTTTAACAAATGATAAATATCATATAAATAATTTACGGTCACTACAAGATCGGTCAGGTTTACCTAGACTATCAAAGTGATAAGACAACTTACAAAAACAAAACGCTCCTTAAAGAGGAAACTATAACCCCGACATAGTTACGACTACACATCAAAATACTATAAACAACACACCCTACAACAAAATAGAATAAAGTCACCCATATTACTCACAAGCCTCCCGCTACTGCTCCACAACCCAACACGCAGACTAATCTCTACAACCAAAATCGGATAGACCACAAATCTTAAAACCCCCAAATCTAAGGACGCTGAACTAGATTCGAACAGTTAAACAGATTGGACGACGAGAAGCACTTCGAACACTGATTCAAGCCCACCCAAAATCTTCTCTAGACTAGAGAATTCACATCCTGACTGGCCTCACTGCCGGCCCCAGACCAAGAGTGGATTGAGGTAGAGAGCCACTAAAACCATCCACAGCCACACAGGGCCATCGTCCATCACTGACGCAGCCCATGGCCTGAAGCACTAAAGGGCCCGACTGCCTATTATTTCCATCTTCCATCCAACCCCATCCTATGCTTGCTATAACTTGGATCTACCTTTTTAGCAAATTAATTTAAGTTTGCACTTAGGTCTACAAATTAAAAACCAGGACCCTAAAATGAAATTTGAGAGAACTTGGAGTTTGATCTCTAGCAGATGCTTGATATTTTAACTATATCGTTTCAGAGGAACTCTTGATTGGTATGAACTATTACTTCCCAAAGTAACTTTCATAAAAATTTCAGATTAGATTCTCTTCATTAATAGATGAGATGGTCTCTGAATGGTTCTGCCCATCTATAATTCTAACTCAAGTGACGTGAATAACATATAACTCCAAATATACTACTATGAAAACTTTTCTCCATTAAACATAATACCAGCAAAATTAAAACACATGTCTAATAAGCCCGGGGGAGAAACGCACAATATACTCGTGTTCTCCCCCAAGCCACAATCCCAAAAAGTTATCAAACAACATAAAAACCCAACAATAACATCACCACAACACATTTAGTCGACCTCCTCGATCTTGGGACCAGCACCCGATCCACCCGAGGGCGCAGGACCATCATCATCCATGGCAGCCTCACCACCAGCTCCTTGGTACATCTTGGCAATGATGGGGTTGCAAATGCTCTCAAGCTCCTTCATCTTGTCCTCAAACTCATCCGCCTCAGCCAGCTGGTTCCCATCGAGCCACTGAATGGTTGTCTCAATAGCATCCTCAATCCTCTTCTTGTCATCAGCCGACAACTTGGATGCAATCTTCTCATCCTTGACAGTGTTCCTCATGTTGTAGGCATAGTTTTCGAGAGCATTCTTAGCCTCCACTTTCTTCTTGTGCTCCTCGTCTTCAGACTTGTACTTCTCAGCCTCTTGAACCATCTTTTCAATCTCCTCCTTGGAGAGCCTGCCTTTATCATTTGTGATGGTGATCTTGTTCTTCTGCCCGGTTGTCTTATCCTCAGCTGACACATTCAAAATGCCATTTGCGTCGATATCGAAACATACAGTGATCTGAGGGACACCTCGGGGAGCAGGTGGGATCCCAGAAAGTTCAAACTTGCCAAGCAAGTTATTGTCCCGGGTCCTCGTTCGCTCTCCTTCATACACCTGTATCAAAACTCCAGGCTGATTGTCCGAGTAGGTTGAAAAGACTTGCTCTTTTTTGGTAGGGATAGTCGTGTTCCTTGGAATTAAAACAGTCATGACACCTCCAGCCGTTTCAAGACCGAGGGAAAGAGGGGTGACATCGAGAAGCAATAGGTCCTGAACCTTCTCGTTACCCTCACCACTAAGAATAGCAGCCTGGACAGCAGCGCCATAGGCAACAGCTTCATCAGGGTTAATGCTCTTGCACAGTTCCTTCCCGTTGAAAAAGTCCTGCAAAAGCTGCTGGACTTTAGGGATCCTAGTCGAGCCTCCCACAAGGACAACATCGTGAACCGTGCTCTTGTCCATCTTGGCATCCCTCAAGCACTTCTCGACCGGCTCCATACACTTTCTGAACAGGTCCATGTTGAGCTCTTCAAACCTTGCGCGAGTTATGGTGGAGTAGAAGTCAACTCCCTCGTAAAGAGAGTCGATTTCAATGGTGGTTTGGGCAGTGGATGATAGAGTCCTTTTCGCACGTTCACAAGCTGTCCTCAGCCTTCTCAAAGCCCTCGGGTTGCCTGTTATGTCCTTCTTGTGCTTCCTCTTGAATTCCTGGACAAAGTGATTGACCATCCGGTTATCGAAATCCTCCCCTCCGAGATGGGTGTCACCAGCTGTGGCCTTCACCTCGAATATTCCCTCCTCAATAGTCAAAAGGGAGACATCGAATGTGCCACCACCGAGATCGAAAATCAGAACGTTTTTTTCCCCAATGCTTGTGGCCTTCTTGTCGAGACCATAGGCAATTGCAGCTGCTGTGGGCTCGTTGATTATGCGCATGACGTTGAGACCAGCAATGACACCGGCATCTTTTGTGGCCTGGCGCTGGGAGTCGTTGAAGTAGGCTGGGACAGTAACAACAGCATTCTTGATGGATGAGCCGAGATAGGCCTCAGCAATCTCGCGCATTTTCATTAGGACCATTGAGGAGATCTCCTCGGCAGCAAACTGTTTGTCCTCGCCCTTGTAGTTGACGACAATCATGGGCTTGTCAGCTGGTCCTGGAATGACCTTGAACGGCCACAGCTTGATGTCACTCTGAACAGATGCATCGGAAAACCTCCTGCCAATCAGTCTTTTGGCATCTGTGGAGACAAGAAAACAAAAGAAGAAATAGTTCATCAGCTCAAAATTTCAATCCAAAATGCACGGAAACAAGGTCCAAAAAGCTAACAAAAACTAAAACCATATACCGTGTCCAAATTCATGAAAGTTAAAACCCTTATCAAAAATTTCCATTCATAATACATAAAAGAGCAATGTCAGTAAGATTTCAATTTGGAAGCTTATGTTTCAACAAATAATTGCAGAGTTTTCAATTATCATAACATTTAACTATCAAATGTGTGATATTATGTTTCAACAAATAATTGCAGCATTCCAAACCAAACATAAAAAACTTGACGCAACGGAAACTTACATACGTAATCTCAAAAAAAAAAAATCCAAATTTCATACAACTAATTGCAGAGCATTCCATTGGGCCAGTGAAAATTTATAGACATTATCCAAAAAATAATTCTGTGAAGCTGTTCATGCTACGTTATGGGCATATACTAAAAAGCTTCTACAATGGGCCAATTGATTCCAATTCACAAAACTACTAAGCTGCAGACAACAGTTTTCAGCAGATATCCACTTAAATAACATTAACCCATCACCGTGTAGCACCAGATCTACTCAAATTCTGTCTAATCAGATCTGAATATACATAACAAGGCAAGAAAAGTTCCACTAGCAGGATCAAGTAACAAGCTCAACACGAACATCAATAAACACAAACATCATAAAAATTCAACAAAAAAAAAATGTGCAGGAGATCTACTAAACTGTAACCCCTACACATAGATCGAACAAAAAAGACGGAACACGAATCATACCGAAAACAGTGTTGGTCGGATTCATGGCGACCTGGTTCTTAGCGGCGTCGCCGATGAGCCTCTCGGAGTCCGTAAAACCAACATACGACGGCGTGGTCCTGTTACCCTGATCATTTGCTATGATCTCAACACGATCGTGCTGCCACACGCCGACGCACGAGTACGTCGTTCCAAGGTCGATTCCTATAGCGGGGCCTTCTCCTTTACCAGCCATTGCTTTGGAGCTGCAAATCTAAATCAAAATCTCGGCGAGAGAGTGTTTAGAGGAGTGAAATCGAAAAATTATCTTACTGCGAACTAGGGTTTGTTAGATGGAGAAGGCGGGATGGGCTCGAGGGTTTTTATAGGGGAGTAGATGCTGAGGGGTGAGTGTTCTTAGGTCTCTCTGGAATGTTCGAAATATTTTGGAGCCGTTGGATGAGTTGTTTTTGATTGGCTAACGCGCCGAGTTGCCGACCAGGACCTTTGACCCGTTTGGAGGGGTATATTACTTTATTTAGTAGTGATGATTTTTTATTTAATTATATATATGATAATAGAATTTTAAGTAAGTTTTGGGTATTTTTGGTAGTATATTAGAAGCTACTTTTACTAAATTTATTCATTTTTTTTTTTCATAAGGAAAAGAATTGATCATCAATTTAAAAAATGGAATGTTTAAGAAATATTAATCTTTTTTAAGAAATATTAATCATTTTTTAATTGGAGTTGAAATAATATTGGCCATTTTTGTAACTCATATAATATTTGACATGAAAATATTATGGTTTTGTATAGTTGATATTGGACTAGGAGTTATATTAGTTGTTTAGAAATAGTTATTCGATAAATAGTCGATGGGATAACAATTTTGAAAATTTTATATTCATATGTGATTCTATGAATCATCACTTATCAAAACACTTATATACTTAGCTTTTTTAAAATTAAAGTTTTGATCTCAAAAGCTAATCAAATGAGTTTTTTTACCAAACACTTATAAATTGAGCTTTTTTAAAATTAAATTTTTGATCTCAAAAGCCAATCAAATAAGTTTTTTTACCAAACAAACTAATTAGTAGATTTGGCCGATCAAACCTCTAAATGAAACTCAATCCGCTAACATTCAAACAGGACCTACGAAAATAACTAGGTCTAAGATCAGTTATTATTATTAGAGGAACTCACGAAAATAACTAGTTCTAAGATCAGTTATTATTATTTGAGAAACTCAATCCGCTAACATGCAAACAGGACCTACGAAAATAACTGTCTAAGATCAGTTATTATTATTATTATTATTATTATTATTATTATTATTATTATAGAGAATGCTACCATCCCGTTGTGGAATAGTTTCATTTTCTTTTTTAACCGTAGATTATATTCAGGAATAGTTTCATTTCTTTTTTAACCGTAGATTATATTCACATTACTAAATTACATGTATATATACTACTAATTGGTAAGATATACTTGTTCTGATTTATATATTAATTTTTTTGCATAAAAAGGAAACAAATTACTTTCTTTGATTCTTTTTACAAAAGATAAATGCTAATAATCAATTCTGGAATAAAAATTGGCCAAAAAAAATACAAAATCACATGTAAAATGTACTTTAAAAACGAGTCTGAATATAAAAGTAAAGAGCCGAAGCATAAAAATACGAAATCATGCATATACATTCAATTAATCATGTCAGACATCGTATTTTCTTCAAGTAGAAATCATATTCAACGAAAGCTCGATATTCTATTGTCATTTCTACATTTCCACAGCACGCGCATCACTTCTAATTAAGAATATTGTTCATTTTTTCTGTAATTTCATACAATCTTCGCGGTAGCTCTCCAATATCAAAATCCTATCCAAGCATCAATTATCATTAGCTAATTGCCTACGACCTTTCGTAGACTGCACGAAACACTCGAAGCATATTCCATTATCAACGAGTCAGCTAAAGCAAGCTAACCTGGAAATAAAAGAATTAATGAATGATATTACATACTAGTTACTATAGACACCTAAATCCCCTGCAAATAATAGCTTAAAGGAAAAGGAGTAGAATTACTGTGACCTCCCTTAGAACATATAGCTTGCTTACAGAGAGAATATATCTTTATCCTGATAATTACAAAATAGCCCCCTTTAAGTTTGTGTTTGCTTAAGAGTTTCCCCATTCAACAGATGAGATTTAACTAACTGGAAGTGATATCTGTGAAAACTACCTCTAGCAAATGGAGTGTACTAAAACAAGACTAAAAAGTTTTGCTATCATATATGTAATAAAACAAATAACACGCATACACGAACAAGATAGCTCGATTTGCCACCCCTACTAGAGGGAATAAATTATGAAGTCCATCTAATATATAATGATAAGCAGAACGAAATGACATTGCTTAGCTTACCGAGACAAGAAACCTGCAGCATTAAGAGAATTCGCAAGAACGCCATCAGAGCTGCAGCGAAGAAGCATAAAATTAGAACATAATAAAACCAATTTTTATTATCTTCCCCAATCTGTCTAAATTTTTTACCATTGAGTACATATAGTTGTTCATTATAACAAATTAACATGCAACTATACCAAATATGCAGTAACAGACACTAAATTACAGAAAAACTTGTGTGTAAAGACAATAGATTCACGACAGTAAAAGTGGAATTACTTGTGACAAACATAATTACGTATGCAGCTAAATTGACTAGACCATAAAAATAAAATTGCTAGCATTTTATGGTGACTAGTGAAAAACTAGAATAATCTATGAAGAATATGTATTGAAAATGCATAACTCGAGCGCTTACTATGAGAGGATGTTTCTATCAGTAACATTAAAGGAGTGACAAAGAAAGTGTTGTAAGGGTGTAGCAAAAGAAACCATACAAGTGTGTGCAAATGTCAAACTAACATTAAATTAGCATTATTCAACTTCTCCATCAGATGCTCCCGCTCTCTCCTACTGACATCAACTTTCAGCTTTTTTGTTTCTACGAACGTCTCCAGCCTTTTGATTCTCAATTGCTTTAGCTTTGGCTGCAAACAAATCAATTCTCCTACACAGCAGATACTTCTGCTAGCATTCCAAAAAAACGAGAGATCGTAATAAAGATCAAAGATAGTTACTAATGTGCAGTAAACACACATTAATATACTGATCTGATCATCATTTTATTGTGGAGCTGTCTGCTCGTGCATACAATCTCAACAACCTTACAACCAACTGATGCGGCAAGGGAAAGGACGTGGTTGATTGGATTAGGGGACCTCTGTTGGAAGAAGGGACCTACGACCATGTTTACAAGGTAACTCTCAGGTCGCCCCTCATAGCAGTCAAAACCGTCTCTTTCCGAAACATTGGGCAAGAGTTCCGAAATGGAGGTGAGGACCCACATAAATGGAGGTGAGGACCCACAAAAATGGAGGTGAGGACCCACATGAGATCAATCCTAAGAGGTCTTTGTCACATTCACGGCATCGGCTACGTGCACTGCGACTGGCTTTTCATAAACCCAACTGAAAGGTGATTGACAAGCCAGTCGCAGCGCACGTAGCCGAGGCTGTGAACGTGACTGTTGTGTGGCCATCAAGGGAACACCGCTTCAGTCGGCAGCAATGGCATGCAAGACCTCTTGACCTCCCAGGGGTGCTGCTCGTCTTACAGGGCTCCCGGACAGCTCTCTTTGCAGCCGGGCTGGTCCAAGCACTCTCTTTAAACTCCCGTTTATGTCCCGAATCAACCTGAAAATGGATACATAATATAAGGGTGATTAACCGCAACAATAAACAGGGAAGAATACAAGAAAAAACTGAAAATAAGGAAATAAAAGAGAAGGAACGAAAACCCCCTTCTGACCGGAATCTGGCCTGATATTGAAGACACAAAGTGTCCCGGCTCAGAGCGCCCTGATTCCCAGCAGCCTCAGCTCAGTCACGGCTCGGTGGAGGTCAAGGACGGCAGCCCGGTTCCTCGGTCCACTACCAAGGCTGCACCTTAAACAGAAGCCACGCACCCGGCCACTCCGTAGCCAAACCCTCCTCTCACACAGAGATTCACCGGATGCCCCACACAAGGGCTACAGCCGGCAGGTTGAGCTGGGCGACGGCGTGACACAGTGACGACACAAAGGCGATCCTCAGCTCTCCCACATTCTAAAAGGTAACGAAGAACAGATTGAGAGAGTGAGAGACCGATCGAGATTTTTCAGACTCACAAACAGAGAGAATAAGTTCAGTCCTAGCAGCAGGAGAGAAAGTGAAGTGAGAGTTGGGGCAAGAGTGGTGTGAGAGGATATTTAAGGCTTGAGACGAATGGCTGGGATTTAATCCCTAAATCCAATGGTCAAGGGACATCCTGCCACTCTGCCACTGAAGGGTGTGTGAGGGATAAGCCCATACGGGAATTTGGGCCAGGGCTTCCTTGGGCTTGAGATAAGGATTGGGTTTAGGCCTAATTTCCCAACAGTGACATAAATTATAGCTACAACAATTTCTCTATTCGGAGTTTCTGTTTAAACTTCGAGCTCGTGAGACCAATACCCTTAACAACAGCCTTTTGGGTCTGCTTTCAGCGTCCTGCATCCATTACTAGTGCAAGAGAGCAAGAGCTTAGCAGCCAAACGGTAATCTCCTGGCCTTGCAAAGGTTATGAACCAATGAATAATCTGTACAACATTCTGTAATATATAATGATAAGCAGAACTAAATGGCATTGCTTAGCTTACCAAGACAAGAAACCTGCAGCATTAAGAGAATTCGCAAGTACGACATCAGAACTGCAAAGAAGAAGCATAAAATTAGAACATAATAAAACCAATTTTTACTATCCTCCACAATATGTCTAATTTTTTTACTATTGAGTACATATAGTAGTTCATTATAACAAATTAACATGCAACTATACCAAATATGCAGTAACATAAATTACAGAAAAACGAGTGTGTAAAGACAATTGATTCACGATAGTAAAAGTGGAATTACTTGTGACAAACATAATTACGTATGCAGCTAAATTGACAAGACCATAAAAATAATATTGCTAGCATTTTATGGGGACTAGTGAAACACGAGAATAATCTATGAAGAATATGTATTGAAAAAACATAACACGACTATGAGAGGATGTTTCTTATGAGTAACATTAAAGGAGAAACCAAAGAAAGTGTTTCTTATCAGTGTTGTAGCAAAAGAAACCATACAAGTGTGTGCAAATGTCAAACTAACCTTAA